TTTTATAGTTTGAATTTAAATTTTCAAACTTTTAAAGTGTGAAATTTAAACTTTTATAGTTTTAAAGTTTTAAATTTTCAAACTTTTAAAGTGTGAAATTTAAACTTTTATAGTTTTAAAGTTTTAAATTTTCAAACTTTTAAAGTGTGAAATTTAAACTTTTATAGTTTTAAAGTTTTAAATTTTCAAACTTTTAAAGTGTGAAATTTAAACTTTTATAGTTTTAAAGTTTTAAATTTTCAAACTTTTAAAGTGTGAAATTTAAACTTTTATAGTTTTAAAGTTTTAAATTTTCAAACTTTTAAAGTGTAAAATTTAAACTTTTATAGTTTTAAATTTTCAAACTTTTTAAGTATGAAATTTAAACTTTTATAGTTTTAAAGTTTGAATTTAAATTTTCAAACTTTTAAAGGGTGAAATTTAAACTTTTATAGTTTTAAAGTTTGAATTTAAATTTTCTAACTTTTAAAATTTAAACTGTGAAATTCAAACTTTTATAGTTTTATAGTTTTATAGTTTTAAAGTTTGAAATTTAAACTTTTTATAGTTTTAAAGTTTGAATTTTGAATTTAAATTTTCAAACTTTTAAAGGGTGAAATTTAAACTTTTATAGTTTTAAAGTTTGAATTTAAATTTTCAAACTTTTAAAGTGTGAAATTTAAACTTTTATAGTTTTATAGTTTAATTTTAAAGGTTGAATTTAAATTTTCAAAGTTTTAAATTGTGAAATTTAAACTTTTATAATTTTAAAGTTTGAAAGTTTGTATTTAAAACTTTAAAAGTATAATTTTTTTGTTCTAATAAAATTATAAGAGTTCTAATATTATTTGTGTAATGTTCCTAATTTTTAATTTAATAATTTTTTTTAATTATAACCGTTGGGACCCGGTTTCCGATCCGGGACGGGTACATCATTTTTTTTCCGAAATTACCGGTTCCGGTCCGTCCCGGTTCCGGTTAGGTTCCGTCCCATGGTACCCGGTTCTGGTCCGTCCCGGTCCGGTAGTCCCGGTTCAGGCTAGAGGAGCAATGGCTAAGATATATCAACATATATTAGATGAAAGAAAAGTGGTGATTGGGAAAAACAAAACAAGGGGAAAGATATGATGTTAGACACTCAAGATGATGATGAACAAGGAAAAGGATTCAATGATGAGAAGATCATTGCAATGCTTGTTTCTTATACATTTGCTGGTTTTGAATCTGTTGGTTTGGTTGCATCAATAGCCTAATGTATCTACAAAAATATCCTCACTTCTTGAACAAAGCTAAAGTATACCTATATATTCATCACTACTTTTATTATTCTTTTTTAAGGCTGTGTTAAATACGAATAAAAATATTATTCAAATTTCTGGAATTAGAAAAAATAAGTTTCATGATTACGTCTCTCTTACTCTGTCACACCTACTCATATAGCTCATCTTCACACCCACTCTCGTAGACCCAACCCCCACCTCCATGTCTCTGTCTCCAATAGTATTTGTCTAGATTATATGTAAATTTTTATTTATTTATATACTAAACACAAGAAGATAGATAGAAAATTTGCTTATCTTTTTGAAAAATATTTTTCTCCGTATTGAACACACCCTAATTCTTGTTGTAGGGGTAGGTTAGTCTTTTAACGTTTTAAAAAAGAAGTTAAATCATGCCTAATATATGCCTTGACAAATTTTCTAATTTTACAGGAGGAACAAGAGGATATAGTAAAGAGAAGATCATCTTCAAATGAAGGCCTTAATTTCCATGAGATTAAACAGATGAAGTATCTTAGTAACGTAAGAGTTAAATTTTTTTATTTTTTTATTTTTGTAAGGTTCAAAATAAAATAATTTTGGACAAATTAACATGCATTAATTATTCTTATATCTCTTTTTTTCAAAATTGAAAGGTAATTAATGAATCGTTACGTATTGCTATGGCCAAAACAATATTCTTTAGAGAGGCAAGAACTACTATTAACATAAACGGTTAGTACTCTGCCTTAACTTTTTTCTACTTATTTTATTCGAATAAATTTCTCAAATAGTTACTTAATTTTACGAATTTATCTACTAAAATCACTTTATTTATTCAGTAGTAAACATAAAAAAATACTTGACTATTTCTTCTTTTTTTTCAAGGTCTTTAAGTGTGAATATCTTTTATAGTACTCTCTGTCTTAATTTATGTAGAATTATCTTACTAGATATACATTTTTAAAAATTAATGAAGACTTTTGTAATTTATGATGTAAAATAAATTTTAGATATTTTTATAGTTATAAATTATTTTATTAAAAATAAAAGGAAATTTTAAAAGTGAAATTGTTTTCTAACTACATAAAGGTGACATTCTTTTTAAGATAAACTAAAGGTAAAGTGTGTCATATAAATTGAGATGTTTTACCCCTTGAAATTCATCTTAAATCCAATGACCTATTTTGGTTTGGGGCGGGGGGACTTACACTTCCTCTAGTCAATATTAAGTGAATTGTTAAGATTTTTTCATAATTTAAAATAAATGAATTATTCAAAATTCAAGAGAATTGTTGAGATTTTTTTTCTATATTTACCTTCATTTGATGAAGTTTTTAACTTTTTTACGTTTTCTAGAAGAACTTTAACTTATATCCTTAAATATTTCTTTAAAGGGTGTGTTGTATCTGACAATTCATTTAACATGGACGGGAGAAAATATGTCAAATATTTAAAGTGGACTTTTCTAGGGCCTTGTGCATTTTTTGGCATGACACTTTTCTGGGGAAATGAAATAATTATGTGACTTTGGTTTTATTACAAAACAAAGAAAAATAATTTTAGTAGGAAATATTCTTAGAGTAACCATTTAAAAATTTTACCAACTTCAGCCTCTTATAAATCTTATGCAGGGTATACCATACCCAAGGGGTGGAAGTTTTTGACATTTTCATGGAATTATCATTTGGATCCTCATACTTATGTGAGACCTAAGGAATTTAATCCTTCAAGATGGGATGTAAGTGACATGTCTTAATTGTTGTTTATGAATTTCTCCATTTACGAGACATTTGATTGCTGATTACTATTATGCAATTGTTAGTAATATAAGAACTATTATGCAACATTTGTTATACAAGATTTTAAACTAGTCGTCAGATATTATACATGACGTGTTGAATTTTATACATAATAACTAAATCTACAATAATAATATTCAGTATGCTAATTTTTAATATGTGAATAATTCACTACGTTATCAGCAATCAAATGACCTATTAGTCAATATTAATGTAATTAATTATATTATACATAAATGATTTAATTTCCAAAGATGTTTTAGTATAATGTGACAAATTCTACAGGATCTTGAACCCAAGCCAGCCTCCTTTCTTCCCTTCGGAGTTGGCCCCAAAATGTGTCCAGGAGCCAATTTGGCCAGGCTTGAGGTTTCAGTAATTCTTCATTACTTTCTTCTTTACTATAGGTATTCATCCTTCATCACCTAATATTTACTATTCTTTCTGTTTTAATTTTATTTGTCTGATTTTGATTTGACACGAAATTTAAGAAAATAAATAATTTTTTTGAATATCTTAAATAAATGATGACATATAGAATGTACTACTAAAATGTTATGTGTATGTTTGGTATGGAGGAAATTATTTTTTGGAAAATGTTTTTTTTTTTCATATTTGGTTGGACAAAATTTGAAACGATTTCCTCTAGAAAAATAAATTCATTCAAAGTGAGGAAAATGACTTCCTTAATGAAAGAAGAAAAACAAGTTTTATAAGTAACATTTTATGTTTATTGATATATTTTCCCGTCCCATCCACCCAACACCCCTTGCCTGTTGTCACCGCTAAAGGTCTAGTTCTTTTGTAGTGAATCCTAGTTGGCAACGCTTAGGTGGAAGGATTAGTTCCACGTGGCTTGCCATGTCACTAAAAATTTGGGGTGTTAGCTCTTGAGGGTATTTGTGGTCTCTTAGGATAATGGCAGGGACAATTTTTATCCAAAAATATAACAAAGGGTATATGTGGTCTATTTCGCATAGTTCAGGGACAATTTTGACCATTTTCCGAAAGAAATATACAACTTGAAGTTATACAACCTTAAACCTTTAACCAAAACCCTTACTATCAAGTAATACTAAATCTGAACTTCTACACTCTGTCTCAAACTATCTTACCTCATCCCGCTACCAACTCCACCATTAAGAACCATCCCCCCTCTTATGTTGTCATAACCTAACCTCTCTATCATATGAAGGCTTTCTGAACCTGCTTATATATTCTATCAGACATAGTCTTACCTTATCGATTTTATTCTTGAATTCAAGCTTACCAATAATATTTATTAATCGGTTTGTCACCTCTCCAAAAATCCCCTACCAATGCTCTGGCCCTTGGCTCTCAGCCAAGTTAGTGGACCACCCACAAAATTCTTACTTATCCCTTAGATTTAACTCACCTCTGGTGCAACACACTCCCGCAAGTAATCCGGACCAACCAAAGATCCCTAATATGTCATGTACGGTGTTTAACATACAATTTCGGTCCACACAAGAACCATCCATCATTTAACACACCGATCTGCCACTCGCGGACCAACATGTGGTGAATACACCATAATAAATAAACCTGATTCACTCATGAAATCACACACAAGAATAATCAAACATGTATCAGGTGTGGTACCCGAGCCATTCAATATAGAATATGTACCGGCATGGTATTTGAGTCGATCAATATAGAACATGTACCAACGTGGTATCGCAGTTGATCAATATAGAACATGCACCAGCATGGTACCCAAGCCAATCAATAAATATCTCATGACAAGCGTGGTATCAACACTAACCAATTATTTTTACCAGGCATGGTACCCGAGCCAATAAATAAACTGTACTAGCCGTGGTACTCGAGCCAACCGAGAGTCAAAAACATCAAACAATCACAACCACAAAAAACACAACTACACTTGTAAAACCACAAACAATTAAGACCAGTTCATTACATGAGATTGACAACAAGATATCATTTCACATTCGACCCTTTTCACTTACTTATTATACGGATAAACTAGTGAAATAGTTCACATACACACATAACGTAAATTGAGAAACAACTCAACCACCACCTACCTTATCAATCTTGAACCCACCTCAGAGAACAATATCCCTTGCTAGTCATGGAGTCAACATTACCTACTACAGTAGTTCCTCATCCTATACAACAATAAACAATACGTTTTATCAACCTAGACTCCATGCCCGAAGGTCTTAGCAAGAAATCTCTCGTCAATTTACACGTATTATATTTTCAGAAACAAGTCTAACTAGTTGGTTAAGTCAAGCCTACTTGGACTCCGGTCCAAGCAACTATCGAAGAAATCTGAACATGAACTTTTGGCTCCATTAGAACGAACATGAACTTGGACCAATAGTGGCCTGACAATCGCTACAATGATGGCGTTATGGCGGGGTTACATCAACCTGGATCAAATTCAAATTTTAAATTTTCATCGTGTCACCCCAATTAAATTTGATAGCATATTTCAAAAAAGAATTGAGATTCTACACGAGGTACTTTTTGAATAATGATGGAACAAATCGTTAGGGATGGCAATGAGGCGGTGTAGGGTGGGGGCGGTGCGGGTTGAGCTTAACCCGCAAAAATTTTAATCCTCCCCGCCCCACCCCGCATAGCAACTCTTTTCACTTTCAACCCGCCCCACCCTGCCCCGCATAGACCCATCCCGCATTAACCCGCCCCGCATAATTTTTTTAATATTTTTTTTCTAGTTATGTTTGATACTAAAAATAAAATTCATAAAAATAAATTCATTTTTTCATTAAGTTGGATTGATTTAATAGGATAGTGACTTAAAGTTTTATTTTTTAAAGGTCAAGTAGGAAACATGTAAGAAATTGTATTATTTTTTATTGAACCATTTTCATTTATTATCTTGAATATTTTAGTATCCTTAATGAAATTATCTTAATAAATAATGCTCTATCACTCTTGTAACATGTAAAAAGTTAAAATTAAGTTTGAACCCACATAAAATCACATATACCCTCCCCGCCCCACATTAATTTAAAAAAAACCCACTTCATCCGACCCGCCCCACACAACCTTAAACCCACCCCGCCCCACATAGCCTTAAACCCACCTCGCCCCGCATCCTCCCCACCCCATTGCCATCCCTACAAATCGTTATACCTAGGAGAAAAAATTAAGAGAGAGAAAGGGAAAGAGTGAGAGAAAAAGGAGAAGGAGGAATGAGAGTGAGAATCTGCTAGGGAAAATGAAACCCTAGTTGGGTTATGTAATTTTTTAAAGGTCTTCTTACGTAATTGTACAGGTAATAAGAAAAAATCAATAAAAATAACCATATGTATATGTAATGTACCGATACTGTATAAATAGTGTAAAATCGTATATCTATAATGTATAACTATATATCAAAGATGTCTATGAATCCATATATGTTGTTTATACATATTTATTCATTACAACCATTCATCTTCCTGAACGAGCTGAAGTTTTTTTCTAAAAAAGAATTCTTCTTACTTTCTAAACATTATTATTTCTCCTTTTTCTTTTTATGTTTCCATGTAAATTATCGATCATAGATCAATCACGAAAAATTTTAAGATTATTTTCTTTTTCTTTTATGTTTCAATTAATCATATTTGAGAAAAAATAAACATATTAAATTCTTCAAGAAATGAGAATGAAATATAAATGAAAGGGAGGAGGGGATATGCATGCACTTCGTTGGTATCAAAAGTGGTCAAATGACCACTTTAAGCAATAAATGATATTGAGTTTTTTTTTCTGATTAAAAAAATTGATCTAATGAATATTTTATCCATTTTTTACCGTTTTGAACTATACTTGGGTGAGTAGCTGTACTAGCTATGTCTGCTTTAGTTGGGTTAGTTTTTGAGAAAAAAAATCATGAAAGACTAATAGTATAGGAGTATGTCGTTCAGCGAAACTTTTTCTAGTTACATTACATTGCTAGTTTTTTCCATTTTTCGTATTGGAGTTCGGGGGCAATTATACAATTCAGGTTGATGTCATTAAATGTACAACTCTTTAATTGATGCGAGTATTTAACGCAATAATGTAACCAATTACATTAATTTACGAAATTTACGTTATTGATTTGCCGTAGAATTATGAATGAGATATCAATAAAAATCTATCCCAAAAAAAATTCAAAAACAAAATCTGACGATTTTTATTTACCCTATTGACATCCTTTTCTTTTTGTTTGTTGGGGGTTGTGGATTGAAGTATCAAAGTTAGTTTATTATTGTGGTGTATCAACTATGTCAACCATTCATGTTCTAATACAACATTCCAAAATCTGAAATACAAAGAACAAGTACATAGAATGCTAGATATATTTATCGTTAATTAAAATCTTCACTTGATATGGATAATCACACAAGCACAAATTTAGAAAAATCTCTAATTTGAGCTAGTAATGATTAAAAGTAAATTGTGCTATGGAGTCACATCATGAGAGATAAATACATATAGTATAGGTTAGAGAAAAATAATTAGTCAAATACAATTTCTAATTATGCGTGAAATAGGGAATTTAGTATAACCGTACAAATTTGCTATTAAAAAATAATATTATAGCTTTGTAGGTAAAATTATGCAAAATATCAGCCAATAAAATTTACTTACCATCTTCTTAGCCAATTACTTTAAAGATTACCTAAAATGACCATTTGGCCCACATTATGTCTTCTTCTTCTACTGCTGCTTCCTCCTCCTCCTTTATCTTCTTCTCCTTTTGCATCGTCCTTCATCATCGTCATCATCATCATCATCATCGTCTCTTCTTCTTCTTCTATAAAATTCGACATATCGCAAGCGTGAATTATTTTGAGCAAATTATATATGAAAAAATTCAAAACATTGAGAGGAATTCATATTTAAAATTTGGTAATATTTAGAGTAGATTTTGAGTTGATCGGAATTAAATAGTCAGCGTATACTTCATGTATAGCTAATGGATACTTCATGAATAGTTAAACTATATTCAACTTCTTGAATGTATCATAATGTATAGTTAGTGTATAACTTATGTATATGTAAGATAAGATATATTCAACTTTTTGAGTGTTTCATAATGTATAGTTGGTGTATATTTTTGTGACTTTTGACTATATTTCACGTAAATACAACATGACTATATTTATTTTAAATTAATTACTTTATTGTATATGCTTGAAACTATTCCATTATTTTAAAGTAGAATTTTAAGATGTAATGTAAGACTTATGTTTACCTAGTTATATAAATTTTCCTAATATTTTCTTCGCATAAATTTTCCTAAAACAAAAGACAAAAGGCCAAATTAATACCTAGCCAAGATCAAGTAAATGGGCCACTTGGGTTATTATCGGTGACTAGTTGGGCTCTTGTGGCTCCAACAACTATATGGAGTTGGAAGTATAAAATAGCCTCATATCACA